CTTTTCAAAAGGGAACAAGGGAAAGAACTTCAAGGAAATGCAAATCATCACTTGTTAGACAAATACATCTCCCCCCTAGTTACCCTTCTATCTCCTACAGCCTGTGGGGTATGCTAGCTATACAAACAACCTCACACCGAGTGCATCTGATTAGAAGATAATTTAGAGTTATTATATTAGGTATTTCTGTGCACACGAGTTAAATAGTTGCAGTGGTTTTTTTTCTTTCTTTCTTTCTTTTTTTTTTTAGAAATGCAAACAAATGTCGCTTTCCCTTCATCTGGGATAGAATATAACAGGAAATGGTTCTTTATGTTATCTTGTGTCTTGTCTTGTGTCTTGTCTTTTCTGCAATCAGAAAACTAGATGTTTGTGTAAATCAGCAAAAGAAAATGTGTCTCATGAAGCAAACTTCAGAAACAAAAGATATGTGAACTCACTAAATGGGCAAAAAGAGAAACTAAAGTATGTAAATGGATAAAAATTAGAAAAAGGAAAAGCTAAGTTAATCCCAGTTTTTAAAAGGGGAATGATAATAACAAATCTCCCAAAAACTGGGCCAAGGGAAACCACACCAAAAACACTTTTGAACCACATAGCACTTACTTTACAATACTACTTGAAATGTAGCCACGATAAACTAAAATGTTCTATAAACATAAAACTACACACAGAATGCCAAATCTGTATGTAAAAGGTCATAAAAATAGTCTATTGGCAACATTTATACTTACTGCATCCTGGTAATATTTGAATAAAAGGAAACAAAATAGGTGGCTGAAGTTAATTTCATCTTCTACATAACTTTTTCTATACTACTAGAAATAATTAAATTGAATATTTGGATTTGATTATTTTTCTGAGAGATCAATTTTTTTAAATGCTGAATTTGGCTAAACAAATTTATCTGAAAGGGTTACTGTAATCTTAAGGGACTATTTCCAAAGAAGGAATTATTAGAACACTGACCACAAGATCTGCAAGAATTGCTTTCTTACACAGAACGAATTTTCCTTTACAATGAAGAGTAAACGTAGCTACAGGGTAGGAGTGGTTATTGTAAAAGGACAGCCAAGCAGGAACCCAACTTCCTTGCAGCCAAAGCTGTTTGGTGGTTTAAGTTAGAAACGGTCAAAGTTCAGTAGTATAGGACAAAAAGTATTACCAAATGTCAACTTCACAACATTGTCTTCCAGTTTATTAATGGGGCAAACAAGCTGGCTAATCTTTTATGAAGCAAAGAAATGGGATATGGGGAGTCTGTGTCCAGTTTGGCTGAGCTAAACAAGGAGCATCTATGAGTCTCACCTATGTAGGGCAGCAGTAGGTAGGTTCTTCGGAGCAAGCTATCTTCTTGATCACAAAGTGTACAGGGGTTTCTTTAGCTGCACTTGATTTCATGAATTGTGGGGTGCTGGAGAATTTCAACATTGTCAAAGGCAAACAATTATAGAACCTGGATGTTGAACTTGTGAAAATAGTGGTCCCAACAAGCTATAGAGTTGTGTACACTGATTTCTGATATAAGGCATGTCAATCTGCACTCTGAACTTAAACAAATTTTATCTAATTCCTTTTTTTGGATCAGTTTTTTTTCCATTTGTCAAAAGTAGTTAGTTCATAGGCTCTTATATATGTGGAAATAAATATATGACAACCCAAATGAGAAAAAATGACTTTTTATTTAGTTGTTATAGAAATAATCAGCTACCATGACTTGTTTGAAGACTCAGAGACAAGAGAATGAAAATTTTCAAGGAAAAACACAGAAGACTTAGTATGTCCTTTGATTGTAGGTTCTTGGCAGGGGAAATCTGTGTCGGCTATTGCAGTATTGGGTACATGGTAAGACCAAAATTTAATTCTCTAAGTAGACAACACATAGCTCCTCTTAGGTCAGTTTTCTTAAGATAATGGAGTAGATGCTCATTAAAGATAGTGCTCCAAGCATAAGCACAAACTGTTATATGACAGCTTGCGTATCACTCGTGAAGCACAGGAAGGTACACTGAAAAGCTTTCACAGGATTTAATAGAGGTGGGAGGGAAAATTCAGAATTTATTGAGAATTGAAAACAGGGATGATTTCCCAATGCTGATTTTATGACTGGATAAAAAATGTTTGCTTGCTTGTCTTTGAGAGAGAGAGAGAGAGAGAGAGAGAGAGAGAGAGAGAGAGAGAGAGAGAGAGAAAGGAAGAAAGAAAGGATGTAGAGCTTGTTGGATGGAGAGTTAGTGAGGAACTAGGAGGGATTTGGGAAGGGGGAAAGTGTACTCAAAACCTAGGTACAAAATTTTTTTCATTAAAAAAAAAGAATCATGATACAGCTATTCTAGGTTGGGTAAGATGTCAAACTAAGACTTTTGATAGGTTTAGAGAATTATGGGGCACAAACTATCAGCAGGTTGATATTATCTATTAAAATGCCAGGGACTCAATGCATCTCTGAACTTAAAAAAATTGAGAAAAGAGTCACCATTGTTCTACATAAGGTGATTGTAATTTTCAGGAGTTTGTGCTTAAATTCCTACCCATAATTGGATGAGAGTAATTTTTCCATCAGTTCTCAGACAGAGAGCCATGGTACTTAAAAAAAAAAAAAAAGGATGCCACAGGCAGAACTGAAGGAGATACATTGGGGGTTCCAGTAGCATCCACTACAATCTGTCACTGGCAATGCTCAAAGTTCAATTTACCCCATCACTGCTTCTTCAAGTTGATGGTCCATAAAAATTTCTAAAAAAGCATTCAAGGCTCACAAGAAAAATAATGGGGACATCCAACAGAAAGTGTAATGGGGCAAGCTAGAGTTCTCACTGTTGTGGGTGATATTGAGGCCATAATTGACATTGTACATTTCCTCCTGCCCACCAGTCACTCTATGGACTGTAACTACCTTAGGCACTACTTGTGCTTGTCTCTGAGAATTACAAGCCATGGTTATTGCATCTTTGTGTTGGCTTCAGAAGCCCATTGGCATTTACTATTAAATACAAAAGTATGGAGGATTCATGGGAATTTACAAGCCCCATGCACACAGATTTCTGTCTTTTTTACACAGCACAAACCTTATCTCTTTGTTATAATGAGTTGCCTTTATCAGTACCATAACTCCTTTCACTACTTATGAGTCCAATACCACAAGAACCCAGAATAACTGGACAATTTACTGAGAATACCACTGTGTCTTCTGGTAGAAACACCTAATGCCACAACCTAAAATAAAAATTAAAACAAAAACAGGATTTTTAACCTATCATAGGACACAGAAAGCAAACTTTCCCCAAAAACGGTCATTGAAAAGAGTGGATAAGGCCACAATGAATTCCATCTCTTCCTCCGGGTCATGTATTCTGACTGTCATAAATATTCATTCCATATTGCTCACTGGTTCAAAGTTACTCCATAGCTTAGAGGATGGTATTCAAACCTTCCAAGGCTATTGTTTGCAGAGCTTTAAAAAGGCAACCCAAAATTCTGTCACACCCCCTATCCCAAGGTTAAAGGATAAAAATGCAATGAATCTCTAACTGTCATCATAGAGCCTTCATCTAGTAATTGATGGAAGCAGATGCAGAGATCCATAACCAAGCACCAGGCCAAGCTCCAGGAGTCCAGTTGAAGAGAGGGAGGAGGGAATATATGAGCCGGCGGGGGCGGGGGGGGGGGGCGCAGTCTAAGATCATGGTGAGGAAATCTACAGAGACAACTAAACAAAGCTCAAAGGAACTCACAAGCTTTAGATCGACAGCTGTGGAACCTGCATGGAACTGGACTAGACCCTCTGCATATGGAAGACAGTTGTGTAGCTGGGTTTGTTTGAGGGGCCCCTGGCAGTGTGATCAGGATCTATCCCTAGTGCATGAGCTGGCTTTCTGGACCCCATTACCTGTGGTCAGACATCTTGCTCACCCTTGACGAAGCTGGAAGGGGCTTGGTACTGCCTCAACTTAATTTACCAGGCTTAGCTATTCCCCCCATGGGAGAACTTACCCTGTTGGAGAAGGAGATGAAAGGTGGGCCGGGGAGGAGGTGCATGGTGGGGGACCTGGAAGAGGGATGAGGGGGGATCTGTGGTTGGTATGTAAAATGAATAAAAAAGAATTTAAAAACCAATGCAATGAATCTCATGGCAGTATGCATCTCTGAAATTTTCAACTCCCTAAACCAAAGCAGCTTCATAGGAGTGTTAGTAACATCCTCTTTCAAAATAAAAATAAAGGGAGCAAGAATGGGGTATAGATTGGAAGTGAAATGCAGTTCTAGAAGAGGCAAGATCCTATATTCAATCCTCAACAGAGAGGAGAAGGGAGAAAGGGAGGGAAGGGAAGAGATAGAAGGGAGACTGGGAGAGGAAAAATATACTCCCCCTTTACATCCAAAACACATATAAAAGAGAAAATAAACCTGCCCTCCAAATTCACTGCCACCCCCTGTATTGTGTTTATTCCTCTGTTTGTCTTAAAGTTTCTCTACAGATATTCTTAAACTCTAACCTTGCCCTGAGAGGGCTCCTGGGAATTTGGTCGTTGACATTTATGATGAGCCTTGTGCAGAATGTTTCTTTATCCTGGTAGACTGCCTGACTGACCCTTGACCCGTTGTCCCTTTCACAGGAAACTTGTTTATAATTGCAGACACACTGTGGCTCTTGTGTGACCTTTATCCGCCTTATTCATGCTAAAGTAGCCTCTAATTATGAAAGCCTAACCAAAAGAAATGTTCTGGTATGGCAGATGGGTAACACAAGAAAACATGTAAGAGAAGTAATTATTATGGACAGACACAAGAGTGGGAAGGAGTACTGGTGATGGACAACAGGAAAAAATCACAGAAGCATGGTTGCACAGCCAGCAGATTCAGGGACAGAGGGAGACTAGCCTGGAGGCTGCACGCTGTAGTAGAATTCAGGGTAGATTTTCTAATAATAGTTTTCATTATTGAGTTTACAGCAACCAGGCAACCATGTCATGAGGTCACACTATAACTGGAAGGTTATCCCTTGGGCACATCTGTTCAGGCTGTATGGGATGTGGACATTAGTAGAATAGGTCTAATCTGTGTCTCCCCAAAAGGAGGCAAATACCTGGGAGCAACTACAAAAGGTAAATGTCTGAGTCCTTCGTGCTGAGGAACTAAAATTCTGTCAAGCATTGGTAAAGTCTACTTCAGAAGTGATAGGGAAAAGGTAACATTACATTCAAATTTTAATCCAAGGCAAGAAAAAAAAAACCACAATATTCACTCCAACTTGATTTTCCCTCCCCTGTTCATTTGAATAACTGTAAGAAACAAAGAAGGTGAAATGAAATGTGGGACAGAAAAACAATTGTGCTAATGATCACACAAACACTGTGGGAAACAAGGTGTGACATCAAGGGCTGAGCCTTGCTGACATTCACCCAGAGAGACTATGGAACATGCCTCTGAGCTGGGTCACTCAAGGGATGAGATCTTGGGGTTCATATATTTCATTCCCATTCACTAACTAAGTGCTTCTCCTCATGGCATTAATTCTCCAGCCTTCCCTACCAGTCTTGGGCAAGATTTAAACTCTTAGACTTCAGGAAACCTTGGCATTTAGTGAAAGGCTGGTGGTTAAATGTTATGTCACCCTACCAAGGTTTGTATGGCAGCTCCTTATTTATTGGAAGGAGGGGAACTAAATGCATGAGGCTACACATTTTTCACATCCAGTGATGCAGGAAGAGCTTGGAGCTCAATGGACACCAACAGCCACCAACAAGCTGAACACATTGTAACCAACATCAATTTATATATCTGTCAATGATGACTCCAAACAGAAAGCATAAGCTTTTCAAGGAAAATGAGACCAAAATTGCTGCAAAGCAGAGATAATTCTTATAGTTGTAGAGAGGAAGTATATAACCTGGGTTTATCTTTTAAGTTCATGTCAATGGAGTAGGTTTGTTATCGATCCCTGTCTCAGGGTTATGTGCTTTGCCAATCTGTTTGCAGGAAAACCCTTAAAAGAAGATCTTTAAAAAGCCCAAATTGGTTTTGTCTTCCATATGGCAAATGTATCAAATGTAATCCTTACATTAGAATGCAAGCAGCATGCAAAAGTATGCAATAAATATTCAATCTCATCTCTGTAATTTTAGACCATGATTCTACCCAATGATTTTGTCCTCTCTTCTTTAAAACTTCTGAATAGCTACGATTATTTTTGAATCATTTTCAGAAGGGCAAACTTAACACAAAACTCAAGCCAATACCATATGGAACACAGAATGAAATGAATTAGCATATTATTAATTGCATACCATTAATTTTCAAGGACAACTAAAAATTAGAATAACTCATTCATTTATAAAAAATGGAGCTTTTGTATGGGGAATATCTTCATGTCTCAGACAGGTTATTCATTTATTACTGTTGAAATATTTCCTCTCACTCTTAGTTCTCTGAAGGGGGCTATAAAAGGGGGACAGATGTTGAATGGGAAGAGTGAGAGTTTGTGAGTTACAAGCCTAATACTATAAATCAGGAAGAAAAAATTAGCAATCCAGAAGCAGAAAAGATTGAAGAAATCCACTCTGAAATGGCCCGAGCACCCAGTCCGGTTACATGCAGAAGAGGAAAAATAAGCTTAATAGCATCAGTGTGGAGAAAGTAAGAACATTAGAACAAGACTCTATTTTTGTCCCTTCAATTGCCTTCATTATTCAGCAGATGTCACTAAGGCAAGACTTTCTACAAAGTTTTATTCCTGAATTGTTTGCAACGTACAGACAATGTGCTTTGCTCTGTATTGACTCAGAAGATGACTTGATCTCTGCCTAGGGCTCTTACAATCTGGTTGAAACAGTCAAAGCAATTTAAACATAAAAATGTCAGCCAAAGAGGGTATTGAGTCTCAAAAGGCACATGGGGTGCATGTAATGTTATTAGCTATAACCCTCTATCGATGGTAATTAAGCAGAGAAAACTTCCATTTTGCCTCTGCTGACAGTATGAATCAAAAGGGCACTATTGAAACTATTTTGATCTGTGACCTTGATGTGACATATGACGTGATAAACTTGTAAGGTTGCCTATCAGTAATTCTAGTAAGTTTAAATAATCAAAATTGTACTGTTGACCTATGTAAACTCTCAGTATTTGAGAACCAAAATACATGGTGCTTTTCTGATTTTTGAGACTATCATGCACACAGGAATAGGACAACTGTCAAAAGTAAACTGACATGTTCATCAGGTAAGTTTCACCTCCATGGGTGACTTTCTGAAGAATGGCTGAACAAATCAACAATAAATTCATAACATGGTGCACATATGTCAGAGTCCATTGATGTGTGTACATCAGTGACGTTAATTTAACTCTGTTCAAGTCAAATAAAATCATTGATAATCATTATTTAAGTAGCATATTCCACATTACAGAACATTATGATTAAATAGCTAAAATGATTCCTCAGTTCAACAATGTCCTTAACTAGGTTCTGTTATTTTTTTTCTGTAGTGCACACTCACAAACATACACTTTCATGAAGTTGCTATATCTTAAAATGATGCAAGAATGATTTTTTTCAAAAATCTTAACATGTAGAATGTTTCCTCAACTTTACAAATAATATGTATCGTGTATTAAATTGATATGATAATTTTTAGCATTTTCTAAAAAAGAACTATGCAGTAACTCTGTTTTTTGAGCTTCAAGACTATTCATGGAGATCTTAGACAAAGTAGGAAATAATGACAGAACACTATTACTTTCCCTAGAACTAAAGAGGCTAGAGGAGCATAAAGCATTAGTGACACTCAGCTGTGTCAGGGTCCTGGGGGGAAGAATCTCTTGACAAAAAGATGAGGATTAGTCACTCACAGAATCATGGTAGTCGGCGAAGGTTGAAGGTTAGGGAACTCATTTTGTTCTATGCTCCTGCTAATTCTTCCCATTGACTCAAACCAACCAGAAAACAAGAAAGTCCACTTCCTGAAGCCTAAAAGTGAATGTAGAAACCCTGGGTTGTAATGGTATTTGCTCTGCCCATGACCTTGGACTATAAGGTCCAAAGGAGGTGGTGCTTCTTGCTGTTGTATGTGAAGGTGGTTCAGTGGTTAATAGCACTGACTGATGTTCCAGAGAAACTGGGTTAAATTCCCAGGTCATCTGGAGTAGAATCACTCCAGAATAAAAATAAATAAATAAATAAGTAAATGGAAGAAGGAACAATGTGACTCCTTTCCTTCCTTTTAAGAGGTCACATACAAGGCAAGAAGCACCCCCTCCTTTGGGCCTATAACCCAAGGTCATGGGCTGAGCAAATACCACTAAAATGGGTAGATAGATATAGTTACACAAATGCTCAATATTGTATGCTATCAGCAAAGTTTATTAAAAAAATATGGTTTCTGGCATCATGTAATAAAATTATAAATCTTACTTTCTATTTCAAGTCTGTCTCTTTTCTTTTTTTTAATTTTATTTTACAATACCATTCAGTTCTACATAACAGCGACAGATTCCCTTGTTCTCCCCCTTCCTGCCCCCCTCCC